GACTTCAACAATACTCCGTTGAATTACACACTCTCTGACTGCAGTTCAATTACTCATTACCCTCTGTTGTCCCGTCACGTTGTGAACATCTTATATATACAAGACTAACACATATCTAGTAAATGCTAGGGCATTCTTGAAGGAACAGGATATTTCTAGAAAATGTGGCGTGATACTAGTCACATGACCTTGCTGACGCAACACTATTAAGCCTATCTGTCCTTGCTTAGTGTCCACTGTTGAGATGTGGTTTACTACAAAAATGCTTCAGGCCATACCACAGAAAATCAAAAGGAAAAAAGATGGCACCAGGTGTGAGCCTGCTCTCACAATTAGTACCTGCTATCCCTGTGCACTGTATCCCATTGCACAGTTTATCAGTGTGGAACCATATGCAAAGGATAGAAAATTCCCATTTGGTTCATGCACCACTTAAGTTCTCTTAAATGGATTAATGGGAAAACCCATGCTTCCCCAGTTCTAAACCACTGGGGAGGTTAGTATGGAGAGTTCTGCATTGGACTGATGTAATTTCCCTGGTATGAGACTTGAGTAGGTGCACTCTTTGATGGAAAGTATGGCAGAGATGTTTACCTAGATGTTTAGTACAAGCCACTCCTCTACATTCAAACCAGACCACTCCTGTGGTTATGCCAGCTGAATTGGTCTTGTGTTTGTTTCTGGATGCAGAACTGAAATGATTTCTCCTTGCACCTGCTTGTTCTGATATGTATTTCTCTAGTACTGTACAGCCTGACTTCTTGCTCTAGCATCACTACACATACAAGCCTTGCTGACCACTTGAGATATAATGACCAGTTGAGCAATCTTCAGTACTGCCCACCCATGTGACACTTTTTTCACAGCATCTTTTACTGTACAACCTTTATTGGGTAAATAATATTGTCTGCATGAAAAAGATGCAGTTTCTCACTGAGTGATGCTGCACTATGTCTCCTCATGTAGAACAACCCACCTTTCCTCTCCACTTCCAGTGTGTTTCTTTAGCCTCATCAAAGATGAGCTGTTGCTGTAATGCTAGTGATCTTGGGACTTACTGCACATATCAGATGTATCACCTTCTTATTGGTGGAGGGCTATAGTTTGATGATGATTACAGGTTAGGAAAATGTTAACTTTACTATGTTACATACATGTGGCTTGTTGAATGAAAAAAACAAACAAAGGAAAAATTATAAAATATATCTTGTTGTAGAGGTAGATATCATAGAAATAATATTAAAAATAATTTTGAAGTAGCAGTAAAGATAGAGATAGTATTCAGTATAGCTATTATTATTGATAATTAAGTTCTTAACTGGTTCAAGCTATGAGACCTTGTTTTTGACCATGCCAGTAATGCCATTTTTTTAGCTTTTTTCAGTGATGTTCATCCTCCATACCAGTAAATAATCAATCACAGAAAAAAACTATTTTCTTTAACTTATAGCCAAACTCTTTCAGTTGTTGAGCCCTTGCTGTGGACACATTGCAAAACTAGTGATGGAAGTAAAAGTGTATTACAATCAACACTCATTCCTAGTCATGCTAATAGGAAATTAAAAGCATTTAGTTTTGTGCCAGATGCTACAACTACAGAGAAAAAAGTATCCTTTGTTACTCCATATGCCTTCAAGCTTCCAGGTAATTAATTTCCTTTGTTTAACTAAAACAAATTATTTTGTGTTTGGGATAGCTATTTTCTTTAAGGTATTTTAATAGATTTCATTTGCAGGCAGTAATTATTAAGTATCATTAATTCATAAATTTATTAAATTATACAAATGTGATTTTCTCAGGTGAATTGAACCCAAAAAGTAATTAAGTTACTAAAACTGGAAAAAATGGAAGGCCAAAGGTTTGAATTGCAAGTAACAGAGGCTGAAATAAAAACGATTTATTCACAACAATCCACTGATATGAGAAACTGCAGGTAGCCAAAGACATTTAACACCAACAAGAACTCCTTTATTATATATACCAGCTATTTTATTACTGACCACTGGACAAGATGAAATTTAAAAGGCAACTTTACAATACTAGCACTCAGGATATACTGATAAAAGATTAATTGTGCTTAGAATTATATGGCAATTCAAAGGTCCATTATGCCTACATCGTCCACATCAATAGAGAAGCCCTATTAGCATAAAATGGGGACCAGAGCTTTCAATATTCTATATCTCCAGATATAATCAACATGTCAGAAAACTCATTAAAGTCAATGTAATGAATTATTCTGCAAAGCCATTCAGCTGTGAAAATAACTCTTGGGCTGAGCGTACAAATGTAACAGTCTCTAAGAGTAAGACTAATGCGGTTCATGCTGTTCATGTATATCTTGCATTTAAAAGTTTTCTTACAAAAATGTTCTAAATGTAAATATATTTAGTTATCATGTTGCATTTCACAATTCATGCAAATAATATTTCCTTCAATATTTATTGGTTCATACTAATCTTTCCTTACAGCATTAGTATTTATGGCAGCTTTCTGCCTCTTATTTATTTTAATTTTTAGAAGGGTCTAAATATGTTTCTGCCAAATGCAATCTCATAGTTTAGTATTTGAAATTTTGTATATGCTGTCTTTAAAAGGATTAATTCTCACTGTGTATTATTTTGCACAAAATTTATGTTACACTCACACAACGGACTAATACACATTTATGCTGTAGTAAATATCAAATTGTTTTTAAACAGTTTTACAGGTAATAAGTACATGAGTAAACTGTAAATTCCAAAACAGTACCTCACCTCTCTCACAGGATAGCTTGATTTTTCATGCCTCTGCTTATGAGATTTGCATGCCACTAGCCTTGAATTAACTCACACCTAAAAATCACATGTTTAACATGAACTGCACTAGTGCATGATGACATACTCATGTGATGATAGCCCTCTACCGCTAGGAGGACAACACAATCTCCTTGCACAGTAACTCCTCTTAAGCACTTGCACTCGAAATATCTTTATTCTTTTCCTTGGCATTGTCTAGAACGGATGTGTTTTTAAAATTATTAATCAATTATGTTCCAATTGAGATAGTTTACAAAACTTAAGTTTTGTTTAAGTTTCACTGGTTTATTTTATAACTAAGTAAAAACAAAATAATAATTTTTTTCCTACTTACCCATTATTAATTCTCAAATGACAATATCTTCTGCTTCATCTCATGATAGTGACAATGTTCCTAACATTGAGACTACTTTGTTTTTCTTCTTCCACCTGACATTAGGGTATGTACAGACTCATTCCTCAAACACTTGCACACTCATACTACCATGCCTTGCCCTCTTCATTTTCTTGTCTCTTTTGTCCTGGTTTACAACCATTCTTTATTTACATTCCTCAATTTCCAGTCTTTGGACTTTCTTTTACCTGTTTGGGGGGTTGCATCCCTTAACTTTTCTCTCCTTTTCTAGTGCCTAATTTTCACTCTTTTGTCACTTTCTTATCACCCTCCTGTGTTACCTCTCATCACTTCACCTTATGTCTGAGGCACTTTATTGTGCTCAGGAGGCATTTCATGGAGAAGATTGTTCTCTTCTTTTAATGATGTTGGTCCATACTTCTTTTTCTGCTCTATCTCTCCTTACTTGGTTTCTGTACTGTTGGGCCTTGTTGCGATGGGATGTTCTCCTAGCTAATGTATACATCTTTTACATGATCTTCATTGGGCTCTATTTCTTCACTCTGAGGTCATTATGGATGTTCCTGACTCACCAGAGACTTGGGCTGAGGCAGCCCAACATTATTCCTTGTTTCCTGTGGTTTCTCTTCTTTCTCAAACTCACCAATCTGTTCCTATTCCTAGGCCTGCTGAATCCATGTCTCCAAGAAGACTGGAGCCTAGTGTCTGGTTATCTACCTGTTGTCTCCCAACCAGTTTTTTTATCATCCCTTGGTTCCATATGTAGGGTTAATTCTTTCTCTGGTGGTTCTTTTCACCCAGACTGTGGATGACCAAGGCCAGCTTTTCTGACACCTTTTTACACATTGTGATCTCTCCATCCTTTAGATATCTTTTTCTTTCGTCCATTGGGATCAGGTCTTTCACTTCTGTGCTCTTCTTTTTGGAATTGCATCTGCTCTGTATGTCTTTATTTGTGTCATGGGGCATTTGCTCTCATTGCTCATGGATTGGTGCTGATGTTCCATTATTACGTAGAAGATTGGCTTCTCTTCACCCCTTCTCATATGGATTTCTTTCATACCTGCATTCCTCTGCAGGAAATTGCTTGGCTGGACTAGTTTGTCAAGTCTTCCAAGCTTTATCTCATGCTTGCTCTATACTTGGTACATCTTGGTGTGTTCTTAACCTCCCATCTCAGTCAGGCTCAGCCTTTACCACTTCGCTTATTAGTGATGGAATTTCTTGTCTCCAAGGTTTGTGCTTTTATTTTACACACACACACATGGCTCCTTCAGTGGAAATTTTTATGGGAACCATTGTCCCTGAGGATTTATCTTGGTGGCTCAACCATATCAATACCATTGTGGGCATCCACTTGTTGCTCACATGACCACATCTCCATCTCTTCACAGTTGCTTTTTTGTCAGATTGAACAACTACATTTTGCAATCTCCTCCACCTTCTCATGAATCGGTTAGTTGTGAACCACTGACAATTCCACAGTCGTTCAGGAGGATACCTGTGCCAGGACTCATGGCTTTGCTATTTTATGCTTATTTTTGTTGGTTTCCTCTCATGGCTTGTCATATGCCAGGGGCTCTGAACTTGGTGGGGGATTGCCTCTCTTGGCCAGACAGGGTTCTAACCATGAAGTGCTCTCTCCATCCTCAGGGATTTTGTTGGGTTTGCTCAGTTGGGCACACCTCTCATCAATGCCTTCACCACTGTTTACATCAGACTTACCCTCTTCAGGTCCCTAGTTCCTCATCCTTCTGCCCTGGCAGTCAATACTCTCTGCCAGGACTATTCTCACCTTTTTGTATATGTCTATCCTCATAATCCTCTTATCACTCTTTGTGGTGCCTCTTTTGCCAGCACAACTCTGATTTCCTTTACTTTGTCAGTTGACATCTAGGCCCCCTCTTCCTCTGCCTCCATTCCCACAATCTCTTGCTCCAACCTCATTTATCTTTCACCCAGGGGTTTTGTCCCTTCATCTTCATATATGGGATTTGTCCATTCCATTGCCTGCATGGCTGAACTCTCTGATAATATAGCCTTTTTCTTATCCCATTCCTGTCATTGTTCAACTATATTCATCTATTAGGAGAAGTGATGGGGTTTTCTACGTTGGTTCATCAGCTTCTCAATTTTTCTGGGCCATTTCCTTGTGGCCTACTTTTCAGCCTTTTTCACATGGTTTTTTTGACCTTGGATTATCAGTTTCCATTACTGCTGGTTCTCACACAGCTTTATCAACTACACTTTGTCTTTCCTGTTACTGTCAGGTTTTTCTTCTCCTGTCCTATTCACTTTGTTCCAATTTTTCCTTCTTTACTAACCATCTCATCCTACTGACATGCTTGACTGGTATTTTGATGTGGCTTTTACACAGTCCTACATGTGCTCTTACATGTTCATCTCCCATTATCTTCATCATCTGCCTGTTGTGTTTCTTGAGGGATTTTGACTTCCTCCAGTTACTGTTCTTCAATAAACCTACATACTGTCTTTGAAAATGGTAAGTACATTTTCTTTTTCAGCACCATTTTATAGGATCCTGCCAGTTGTCTGGTGTTGCCTTCCAGGGTGTGCTTAATTCCCAAAATTCACATTGGGCCAGGAGTAAGAGAAAGCACTCATCCTATCTGCTCTGGCTGTACCAGTGCCAGCTGTTGAGATGGAGTATTCTGCAAGAACATTAGAGATATCCTCATGGTATTGAAATTACTCAATTGCCCAGTCCAGACTGTTCCATTCCATGGACTATCATTGAAAAAGCCAGAACCAAAGAAATGACTGCCCATTTTTTATCCTCATGCTTGCCAGCTATTAAAAATAGGGTTTGTGGTCACCTATTGCACTATCTCCTTTCTGGCAGGGGTCTGATGGGAATCTGGGCACTTCTCTGGGTCTCCCCAATGTGAATTCTCCCCCCTCTTCAAGTGGACCATGGGAGGCCCTTGCAACTTACCAGTTCCTAATTGCTGGTGTGGTGAACTCTTTGGAGTTCTTCACTGGGGTATAGGGTGATGGGTACACTGTCTGTGTTGTGTGAGTCACCCCTCAAACAGCTGGTGTGTTCTCATTCTGCAGCAAGAGAGTGTCCAGTTGAGTCAAGGTGAAACACACACACTGTATGGTCTGATCGCACCCTAATCACACTACACTTCTTGGCTTACAGCTGCTCAGTTGGTCATGATCAAATCTGGCTTTAATGCTTATACTGGCCCGTCCACCATTTTAGTGTGGGATTTTAGCTATTCTGTGTGAAGAGATGAGGTATCGTCTCAGAATTTAACATTTTTTCTAACTTGAAAATGTATTTCCAATAGATACTTATCTCCACACAACTTCCCACCTGTCCTTCCCACTTTCTTGTTGCTTCATCTAAGAATGATGTTATTTCAAGCATAAGTTTTAAGAGGAGTTACTGTGCAAAGTGATTGTGTTGCCCTCCTTTTGGTGGTGGGCTTTTATTACATGATAACCTTATCATGCACTAGCAGAGTTCGTGTTAAACATGAGATTTTTGGGTCAGAGTTACATCAATGCTAGTGGCATGCGAGTTTCCTAGGCAGACCCATGAGAGATCAATGTGAGTATCTATTGGAAATACATTTACAGTTAAGGAAAAGATTAAAATTAATATAATCTTAAGAAAATATTAAATTAATATCTAATACTTTGTGTAGTTGTTTGCATGTACTACTATGACATTTGTTTTAGAAAATATTCTAGTGTTTTATAGATTTGATAGTAGTTTGTGATTAATGAAACTTGGATCAGTAAATTTATAGCAGATTAAATTGTAACTAATTGTATGTGACTGACACATGAATGATGTAAGTGACAGAATGTTACTTCTACTTTATACATTTTGCATTATTTCAGTGTCTAGGAAGTTTGGTTCTGAGAAAAGTGTGCTGAATCTTCGATCAGTTTCAGAAATCCGTATCCTTGGAACTATAACATTAAAGTGCATGTACAGTAGCATACATTGTAAACTTTTATTTGAAGACAATACATATTAGTGATTTTTGTTCATTTAATGGAAATTGTTGATATAAAGCAAATTTTAAAAAGTAATGTCTTCAGCTTTTAAAAATTGTTTTATACTGAAAATGAACTTATTTTACATTTAAAAATAGGACATATAAGCTAGAGAATTGTATCTAAATTGCTGTGAAAAACCTCTAAAGTATGGGAAATCCTATGAGAATAAGACTTCTGCATGTTATTTTGATATTGATTATTTTGGAAACCTTGACAAATCCGTGATAATATCTTGTTCAAATCATAAGTTTAAACAAACCATAAAAAATATTAACCTATGTTGTTGTATAATTTGTATCATTTATCTTTTCCTTATATTACAGAAGTAGGAACAAGATAAAAGCATAATCCAGTCAAAAATAGTAAATGTCGTATAATTTGGTTTGAACTTAGGCAAAAGTTATGATTCAAACATTTTTTGTTGTTGTTGTTTTAATGAAGAAGCTTAGTTATTTTCTAATAAATAATATATTGCTACTGGCTTCTCAAACTGCTGTATTCCATTTATACAGGTATAAAAGATTTTTGTGGGACTATTGAACCCATTGGGATAGCAATTTAAAAAAAATAACTATTAAATGTTGTGACACTGAAATGTTATTCTTATGGAAAAAGATTATGTACTTTAATAGAAAAACTACAAAGCAAAATTTGATAGTATTTTAATGTTTTAAGTAGGAAATGAACAGTTGTTTGGTTAAAACATTTTGAGATAAAAGTGTTTGCTTAGAAGTGATCTATATGTATATACAATATGTGTGTGTGTGTGTACTAAATAAAAATAAAACTACATATTAAATGTTTTTTAACTTGAACTGTTTGGGAAAAAGAAACTGAGGAATATTATTCTAATATTAATAAATATAATGTTGCATAACGTAACAAAATTCATATGTAGACAAACCAGATGTGCAATTTCAACCATATAACGTTAGCCCTCATCAGCCTAGGTAAAGTTGATGATAGAGATTATCATCTGATTGAGCTTTACACAGGTTATGGTTATAAGATACATATAAACACATTTATAATCTTTCATTCTAAAATAGAGTTTGAGGCTACTTAATATTTCAGCTAAGTTTAACATAAATATAAAGTTCTTTATATTTTAGTATATTGCTCAAAAACTTGTGGTTCAAAGAAAATTAGATATTTTTCTGTTACAAGAGGCTCAAATTCTCACAAGGAGAAAGGATATCTAAGAAAATTCAGACAGGAAGATAGTGTCATCTGAAAGATTTCAACATTAAAGTTAATCAAAATAATTATCAAAATAAATTAAAAAATTACAGGATATACAATGAGTTAAAATCAGCAAAAGAACTATTTGAGGGAAGTGGTAAGAAAGTGGTTTATATGGAAATATTGCAACTAAAACACTTAATATTTAATATTTCATATGTGATCAAGAATATAAATAACATGATATTATAACATTAAAGAATAAAACTTTTTTATCTGTCCAGGCCATCCTATCCACTAAATCAAACTAAATGCTAAAAACTCAAAACTAGCCCTTGTTATTCAAATATTTGTCAAACTTTCCTTTAAATTTCCTTAAATTAACTGTATCTACCACAAGTGATGGCAACTCATTCCAAAGGCTAACCACTTTGTTAGAAAAATAAAGCTGTCTTAGCTAAAGTTGATTCCTACCTTTCAAGTTTGAATGAACTCAATTTATAGCAACCCTCTGCTTTCTTCCATCTAGAAAATCCTGTAAGAATAAGGCTTCTGCATGTTATTTTGATGTGGATTTCTATTTTGGAAATTTTGACAAATTCTTGATAATATCTTGTTCTTGTAACATTATTCAAGTTTGACTGAATTTCATTTATAGCAATCCTGAACTTTCTTCCATTCAGCTAGTTTTCTATCCAATGAGCCATCATATTCCCCACATCAACAGAGATAACTTTTTAAGAAACCTTTATTGTGTCATCTTGTCAAATGCTTTCTAAAAATCCAGATATGCCAAATCCACACCCATACATCTATATATGCAATAATCTATTCAAAGAATGTGAGAAGATTAGTTATGTAACACTTTCCCCTTGTGAAATCATGCTGACTATCGGAAAAATTAAAATTACTTTGCAAAGTATTTTTCATCAACCTTTCAAAAGCTTTTGCCACTACTGATGTAGACTAATAAACCTGTAATTGTTGTCATCTCCCTTCAAAAGAGGAGTAACATTAGCCAAGTTCCAATCTTCTGGTACCTGCCCACAATTCAAGGGTAAATATTATCAGGCCAGAAGCTCTATCAGTCTTTAAACTTCTCAGTTTTTTTCTTAACAAGCTTAGAATTAATGTGATCATCAGGTCAACTTCAGCAATTATCACATGCACCCAGATGTTCACCCATCTCTACCCTGTCAATTTTTTCTATATTAGAAGTTAATAATAAATTGAAATATCACTGTTCCAATAGGTTTCCTGACCAATTGTTGAAGAAAACATCCTGAAGAGTTTCTAAAAAAACCTGTCTTCCTTATGATTTAACTCTGGAATTTCCCAATCTGTATGTCTAAAATTAAAATATCTCATATATATATATATATAACCTCATTAACAATTGAATTATTTGTCTCATTGAACAGTTTTTTCATTAATTTCATCAGTTTTATCTATTGGTCTATAACAAATTCCAACTAAAAACCTTCACCCTTTATAACCACCAACATAAAAAATATATTCATCATCATAGATGTTAGTTCTGATATCTACAACAGTTTAGCCTACCTTTAAAACTACATTTTATTTTTAATTCGTTAATCTGGCCTTCTCCAATGTCATCTCCTAATTTAAGTTTGCCATTACAGTTGAGTTAATAGCCCTAGTAAACAAGCCAGCCCCTACCCTTTTTTAAATGTAAACTATCCATTCCAAACGCTCTCTTTTCCCACTGAACTTATCCCACAAATTCAAAAAACGGTATAGTCTGTGGGAAAAATAAGGAGAAAAGAATTAGATTAAGCTATCCAGAGCCAGGGGTGGAGGATATAACTGAGAGAGCAAGTACTATATTAAATGGTATTAGCAGTGATGCAGTCTTTGTAGTACAAATGATGTAGAGAAGGCTAATGATGTAGGGAATGGTAAGTCAGAGGAGCTTATTGTTAAGTACAAAGCATTAATAAAGACATTCAAAGAAAAATGCCATAATAATTTAATTTTGTCAGGGATACTGCCAAAACTTAACTGTTGAGATGAAATTATAAGTAGGTCACTAAGACTGAATGCTAGGCTTAGATTAATATGTAAGGAAAAGCTGGTTGGCTGATGTATTGTACTAAAGAATCTTGTGTAAGAATAACCTTCATATGTTTTTCATTTCCATCCCTATGCGTCCCTTTTGTTAAATTTCCCTACTCAAATTCATCATCTGTACAAACTAAAGGCTGAAATCTGTTATCAGACTAACATAATTACAGTAGTTTGCTAAAGTAGGAATATTTTTTTAAAATTTTAAGTAACTCAGTTTTTGTAGCTCTGACTTTCTTGTTTTAATATTTTTTGTTGCCTTAAAACTTTCTATATTACTATAGCTAGCTAGGTTACATATATATTGATCCTTACTTGTCTTTATAAGATTAAATATTTTTTTATTATACTTGTTTAATAGAACCTGCTCATTATAATTAAACCCACTACTTCTAGTCTTTTGAAAACTATTACAGAAATTAGAAGGAATGGGAAACTTTGTTATAGACTGATGAAACAAAGATTTGGCTCTTTAGAAACTAAAAAAGTTTTTGTTTGGGAACATGACCTTGGAAGACTTAAGCAAGACTGTATATATTATAATGGGTAATATGATGATAGTTCTTTAATGATGAAGGAATGTTTTTCACCTGCAGGAGGAGGTGATATTGTCAAAATGGGCGGTTTTATGAAGAAATAGTAGTATCACAACATCCTAATTTACCATGTAGTGCCTCTTAAATTACAGTTTATTGATTGTGGCTTGGAATATCAACAGGATAAATAATCCAAAAGATCTAGCTGTTGGTATAAAAGTTGTGAAGTGGTCAGCCTAGTATTCTTGTTTTAATCTATAGAATTGAAAAGTAATATTGCCAAAGCAAATCAACTAATGTACACCAACTTTTACTAGGAAAAAACTGGTTACCAACTTGCAAAAAGAGGATGATTGATGAGGCTCTTAAAGTGCAACAGCGTTCTTGTAGTTTACAGTTACAATCATGGCTAACACCTAAATATCAATTGTCTTTAACTTGTATTAACTTGCACGAGTCTGTACTACCCCTTGAAATGAGTACAATTTCATTTTAGGATGACATGATGCAAACAGGGTCAAACAAGTATAGGCCATACTGAACAATCATTGTTGTATGTAGTCTTAATCTACAATGAAGAATAAGCACCAGTTTATGACCTTTCATCTCCTGCTAACTAACTACATGCAGAACAGCTGCACAAACACTGAGAAAAATTTAATGTAACACAACTAAATAGCTAAATATTTATTATAGAAGAATGAAATAAAACATTTCTTTCAACTGTCATAATCAGACTGCATCTCAATTGACAGATTCTTTAAAAGTTATCAGAATTTACTTCTCTCCAAATATGTTGTCAAGACTTGCTATATGGCAGCTGGTACACTCCAGAATCATTTATCTCAGATGAAAAAGGAGAGCATGGCTGCTTGTACTTAGAGCATAAACTGTGAACAGTGAATGAATGAAAGTGAGTGATGTGGCCTGATGATACCTGTTTCATGCTTTTATATGTTGATGATGGAGTAAAAATGTGGTGGAAATCATGAAGGTACTTGACATTGTTTGTGTTGTTCACATTGCTCAGTTTGCTGGAAGTAGAGGTGTGATGTAGAGAATACTCTTGTGGCAGAGATTATATTATTTGATTCCTTTAGAAGGATGACTAGTATTCAGATTATTGATGTTGAACATGTTCATGCCACAAAGCTAATTTCCATCCTAATAGATAACAGTTCTTCTGAGATCATAATGTACTCATACTGTCTGAAAATGATTCCAAAAGCACAACAGTTTCTTAAATCATTTTTCTTTCACAGGACACATACAGATCTCAACCTGATTGAGATTCGGTTGAGATTAACTGAAGTGATGCATTACCACCATAAAAACCTCCCAATATCTGGAAAGCGATAGTAGACATACTTTTTGGCAAATGGGTTACAATGGTGTGAGACATCTTCAGGCACCTTCGGAAGTCTAAGCCTTGCGAAGTCCAGACTATTTGCACTGCAAAAGGTGCTGAAACCAAGTATTAGTTGTTCATTTTAATAAAATGACTTGTTTACATATAAAGGAGAAACACATTGTTTGTCACAGCTAGGTTTGTTCAAAAGTGCACCTTATTGGCCAATAGCTGATTGGATCCAATGAGAGCTTAGTGAGTGTGAACAATCTGCTCAGTTCCTGAATTTCCTAGACAGTTAGACTGAGATTTTTGAGAGAATCATCTTCACCAGCAGTTTGTGAATAAGATTTTCATGTCTTAATCCAAGTTTGGCTCTGCTTGTAGGTCTAAACTAAACATCCAATTAAACCCGAAGTACTCGTTTCAATTTTTGAAATTTCTCACCCATTGCTCCAGGAATTACATTTAATTATTGAAGAAACGTCTAGACTACATCAACAATAGTAACAACATTATAATAATAAACATTTTAGTTTGTTACTGAAATGTTTTGTTAGTTTTTTTTAAGTCATGAGGCAAATAGATATAATATTTTAAGTGTTAGTAAATTTTAAGTAATAGTGTTAATTATGAAAGTAATATACTAACAAAATATCCAGTTATGAAATAAATTTCTATGTTACAAATAAGCAAACTTTTGGTCCATGTTGTTATTCACTTAATATGTACTAAGCTGAAAAATATCGACACGTGTTTAGCAATTTTCCTTTTTTCAACATTGTGCAGTCCAGAGTATTTGAAGATGTAAGTGTTTTTACTAATATTGGAAACAAAGTCTTCATTAACTTTAAATGTAAAGACTTGCATATAAAAATATATTTATGTAATTAATATTTACTTTTGCTACAGTTGTTTCATGAGAACAGGTTTAACTAGAATTTACACTTTTAGTTTCTATCAGGTTTATAGGTAATACTAGCAAAAGTACCTGGCTTTTCGTAGGTTATTAGGTTGATATATTTTAAAAAGTGCATAAAATTTATCATGAAAGTAAAAATATTGATCCAATTTTAAATTGTTTCTGAATTTAGGTATTTTCTGTTATATCACCAATGGTTTTCATAAAAACAAAGCTTTTTAACCAACAAAGACTAAACTAAGAAATCAACAAACGTCATTCCAGTTTTGTTATTTATGCATCTCATTTTATACTTTCAGTACATAGACTAACAACAATAGTAGGTTATACTTTTGTAGCAAAGCAACATGACATAAAAGCCATTGTTGGAACACATTGTTACCAAAACACACTGGCTTTTCTATTTATTAGAAGTTGTTAATCTAACTGATATACTACAGGGTATACTATGGGGCGTGCATGCTTGCACGCACGTAAATAAGTAATAATACCCAGGTGCACACCCTCAGGGTCCACTTAGTATGGGTGCAAAATTTCAGGTTTCCTCTTGGAGCTATGGCAGTTACACAGACATGCCCTTTTATTATTATTGATCAAGGGCACCCATAGAAAAAAATTAGAGGGTCAACTAACTCAAGTTTCAAAAAATTAGGAAATCAAAATAGTTTTCTTTTATAGAAGACTGGAAGTTGCCATTTTTCTGGCACAGGTTAAATAAATATAAAACTATGATTCGATTAAAATATCTTCTAAATTACTGTATCAAAATAAAAATAATTTAGATACTAATCATACAATTGTTAATAGCTTATGATTGTCCAATAACATAGAAGAATAATTTTACATATCTAATAAATTTTTTCTTTTTGAAAATCCAGTGCGGATCAAGTGACCTTCCTTGCCCCTTCCTGCCGGCATCCATGTTATAGATTAATTGGGAAATGTTTTTGTGCTTTGTCGTAGGTAATGGTAAAATATAGAGAAGACATGTTATTGTCATTCTTTGTATGTAGTCATTCATTGGCTTAGCTAATATGTTCTAATTTTAAAATTAAAAGTCTAATAAAGCAGAATCTTAATCTATGCTTTACATAACTTGCTCCCCAATGGTATAGCTATATGTCTGCAGACTTAAAATGCTAGAAACTGGGTTTGATACCTGTGGTGGGCAGAGCATAGATAGCCCATTGTTTAGCTTTGTGCTTAACTACAAGCAAACAAATACATAACTTAAAGTATTGTTTGGCTGGATTATACCATAATTAGTATTGTCACCGTTTTGTTTTTATTGTGCAAAAAGCTCATGGGACTTTGCATTCCCCCCTTTCTGTGCATGCTTGTACAGTGTCATATCTCTTTTAAATCCTTTTTTTTTTCCAAATCAGGACATACACAATTTATAATTATTCCATTTTGACAATTGTTATGAAGTATCCAGAATGCATAACAGTTTTCCAGCTAGACTTTTTTGTTTGGTTATTTTCGGATTAATTAATGTGTCTGGCACCACTTCTCTTCATTGAATATTATCTTATTTTTCAGTACTCTATTCAAATCATGATGCTTAGAAGTTAATTTTTTTTGAGTTACTATGTGATAATACAAGGTTAAGTTTCATAAACTAAAGTGCAATGTTTCTATTATCCTTACACTTATTTTATAATTTGTGCTTGTAAAAAGGTAAGAAATATTAGGCTATGACAAGATAAATAGAGTTTTTTTATTGTTTGGATAGCGACTCTTGGTCATTTTGAAATTCCTTGGTAGGGGTGTAATTCCAAGACTAACCTATAAGCACAAGGAGTATTCCAAAACATTTTTACCTCTGCTCACTCTATAGCTATTATTTGACTGTTAGGGTTTCTTTTCCTTCAGCCATCAAAGCATTAGTTTATCCGTAGTGAGATGGAGATATACATTCGATCCAGTGGTGTTTCTCTGGGGGGCTCTGAGGCTGCACTTGCAGATGATCCTGAACATTATGGAGAAAATTTAGACTTGTTTTTCCCAGTGCCTTCCTTTACTTTGTCAGCTTCTCATAAGGCC